AGGCTCCATATGGCCTGAATCCTGATGATGGCTCCAGTTTCATGGGTGAACACAGCCACAGGTCTCTATACTCTAGGAGCACGCAACTATACTCTTTGGGGCTCTCTTTATATAAGAAGCTTATTCCTCTGCCTGCAATTCTCCCTCACAACACTCCCTATCCTTCCATGGAAAATCCTTCTTAGCCCTATAGGGGCTTACCCTGAACCTACAAAGTTGACCAGGTGCCATTTCTGGGCTCCTACAGCTCCCTGGGATCCCCATTCTGGCTATGACCCCTCGGCCTGGGTCCCCCACCCAAGCCCTGACCCCTCTTCCTGCGCCCTCCATTCTCACCCTGACCCCTCTGCCTGTGCCTTCTCCTCCCAGCACTGTCCATTCTGAGCTGTCACTTTCTTGTTACTAATCGGTCTCCCACTGGAGTGAAAGCCCCATGAGTTCAGGGCTCAGGACTGTCTTGGTCACCCCTGGGTCCTCAGTCTCATCCAGCACAGGCTGGCAAAAGTGGTTCAGTGAGCACTGGTTCAATGGCTGCTAAATGTGTTGAGTGGCTTACAAGTCTGGTGTGTGTGTGTGTGTGTGTGTGTGTGTGTGTGTGTGTGTGTGGTGTGTGGTGTGTGTGTGTATGTGTGTGGTGTGTAGTGTGTGTATGGGGTCACTATGGGAAAGAGAGTTTTCAGAGAGGATATTTAAGTTGATCCAATGAGAATGACCTACCTCGAAATGCTCTCAACACACACCTCTCTTGTGGAGGATTTTTCTACTTAGTGTGACCCTTGAAAATGGAGGGAGGTAAATACTCTGAAAAATAAGGGAACTACTTGTTTTTTTAAGAAGGGACAGGGAGCTGGGCCAGGGCTGTGATTGATTCCAACCATAATAGGCACAAGCCGATCTCAGATGCTCACATGTATATAGTGTGGCCCACGTGCCTACATACTATACCAGAATGCACACAAACACATCCATACACTCATATATAGTCAGCTGTTGTACATATGTACACATAGATATGAATACATCAGGTTGGACACCGAGACACACATGTAGACGTCACCCAAAAGGCATACCCCAAAGCATGTACTCATGCTACCTACAGATAGACACAGAGATCGACATGCACTCAGGCACACTGGCAAGGACACACACATACCCTGTCATGCAACTAGATATGCACATATGAGCATAAACAGGTATGCATACCAATTTATGCACCAACACCCCACCCCTCAAAGACAGGTGTGGGCATGAATTTATCAATATGGACAAACTGACGCATACACGCACACACACATTCACAGACACCCCAAGCATGTACCCAGAATGATACACATATGCAGGTGTATAAATAAGGATAAACATGGCAGAGGCATCTAGGAGAACCCACTGGATAAAATGACACAAATACGAAGAGATCCAGATCCAGCACACACAGGGCTAAAGGGCAGGCTGACTTACAGGGAAGGAGAAAGAGAAAGTCAGAGACAAGGGGATTGAGATAGAGGAGGACAGAGAGGAACGTCCTGTGCAGGGCTCCATGCCCACCCAGAACATCCCGAGGCTCTAGCCCTGACCCACCCTCTTCAGAAACTGCTTAATCCACCATCTCTCCCCGAGGCCACCCAGAAGATCAGGTTCTTATTCAGACTTGGCTGCATGGAGGAAGAAAGGGGGAAGGAGGGTCCCCCAAAACTTTCTCTCTCTTCCTCCTTTCCCAAAGGAAAAGCTGTGGGAACTTTAGACCTGAAAATGTAAAAGCCAGAAGGGGATTTAGTGAACCTCTCTTCTATCTCTTTCCCTCCATGGATTAATAGCAAGAACAGCTAATATTTATTGAGTGTTTACTGCTATGTATATCACACAAATTAACCCATCGACTCCTCACCAAAATGCCAAAGGGTTGGGTACTGTTATTGGCAGCATAGGCTCAGAAAGGTTAGGTTACCCATTCAAGGTCACACATTGAAGAAAGGATAAGGTTAGGATTCCAATCCATGTCTCAATCTTGCTCTTAACCATTGTCCCATCCATCCAGAAAGGAAAACTGAGGCCCAGTGAGGGGAAGAGATTTTCCTGGATTCAGCACCAGTTCTCTTCCGAAGTCTATCCTGGCCACCGCACACCGGCACGTGTCCTGCCTCTGGGAGGTAAGGCCTGTGATGTCAGACACTGATCTCTCACTCCATGTTCCAGGGTCAGAGACGTGACCTCAAGTACTTTTCCCAGTCTTGACCCCTCACACCCTCCCCACCCAGCTGTCTGTCTAAACATTCAGGGCCCTTCCTGATGCCAACTTCATTGAGAAACAAACTCCGCAAAGTCCTACCTCCTTCCTTCTCAAGGAACAAGGAACAAGGGGGGAAAGAGGGGCCCAGGCTTGAGGCCAGCCCAGGTGCAGGAAAGGAAACTAGACTTTTGGTGGTAAGAATGCAATCCAGTATATAGATATCAGTATATAGAATGTTATACACATTCAATTATATAATGTTGCTAATCAATGTTACCTCATTTTGTAAAAAGACAAAAAAAAAAGATTAGGAGATTTCTACCTACCAAACCCTTGCTAATCCTCCTTTTCTCAACAAAACCAACAAATAACTTTCTCTGCTTCATTCTCCACCCTTTTTTCCCTCCCTACAGGTCTCATAGCTCAGGGGCCTACAATGTTTTGAGCAGCATGCCTGTCCTCAGAATGCCAGCCTCACCCACTTGCACTCACCTGAGATTAGAGGTGGCACCTGAGCAGGATGGTCCAAATGTGGGATCCTGCCCAGTGGCCATCAGGGTCCCCTCTCAGGCCCACATAGGACCAATCTCAGTGCTCATCTGGTGCTCATGCTGGAGCCTGCTGGGATCAACCTCAGAGCCCACATGGTGCCACCCTATGCCTTCTGGAAGCCAGCCTCAATGGCCACTTAGGTCTACTCTCAGAGCCCTCTCAACACCAGTGGTGCTCTACTACTGCTCTCCTGGTCTCAAGTTCAGTGTCAACTCATTTTCAATCCTAGTGTCTATCTGGAAACAAGCTCAATCCCAATGTGATGGCCCTCTGTCCCAGGGCTACCTGATGCCAATAGCAGAACCTGCCAATGCTGATGCCAATCTCAGCACCCACCTGCTGCTAAACTTGGTCTCCACTTGGCCCCCAGGGTGGGCTAGGCCAGTCAATGGAGAAAGCAGGAGGGAAGATTCAAAGCCCAGCCTCATCACTTTTTACTTGTGACCTCCAGCAAGTGGCTTTATGGAGTCTTGGTTTTAACTGCAAAGTAAGAATGATAACGACCCAGCCCATTCTTATAAAGATTCTATAAGATCCTGCATACACAGTCAATCTCCACAATTAGTGCTCACCAAGGGGAAACTGTCCTCATTATTAAGAAAGAATGCCAGTGAGGAGAGGACAGCAGAGTCACTCATCCTTTCTCTACCCCCCCGCCCCCGCCCCAGCATCTCAGGGCCCACCTCTGTTCCCAACATCAAAACTTACCCAAATCTCTCCTCTTATGGTCCCCTCTGCCTGATAATAGCAGCCCTGCTGAGCCAGGAATTACCTATAAAACACACACACCCTCAAATATAACCTTTCCACTGGTGGCAAACTCAATCCCAGAAAGGGGGACTAAAAGTAGAGAGCAGGAGAGACATATGTGTTCCCTGCCCACTCTCTATTCTCTGCCCTCATCTTGCCCCTATATAAAATGGGAAGCATAAATAAATAAATAATAATAATAACAATAGAAATGATGGAATCTACTTGGTGGGTTTCCCTAATGATCTGGGCAGTGAGTCACTGTGGCCTGTTGTAAATTATAACCCTGCAGACAGTCGCGATTTTTTCGTACCGTATTGCAGTTGTCATTACTATTTCCCAAGTCCTGGCCCCCTCCTCTGCCAATGAGACCATGAGTCAATCTTCTCCAGTTCTGTGGAAAGTTCCACTGAGATGTGGCTCTGGTTGTCTCTCCCTTCCCCAACCAGGAATGGGCAGTCCTGTGGCATGCCATCTTGACTCCGCTTTGAGGTGCCAATGAGGATTCTGGGCATCAAGAGGCGGTATTATGTCCAAAACAAAGCAGGTCAGCATCTGGGTCAGGAGCTGACTCCATGATCCAGCTGGACTCCTCATATATTTCTTCCCACAGGAAGCCCACATCCACTGCTGGGGTGCTTCTTACCTCAAGACCTTCAAATCCATTCTCTGGAATCTCCAGACCCGAGACCTTTAAACCTACATTCCTCCTCAGCAAAAGAGCCCCAAATCCACAGGCATGTAGTCTGTCTTATTCCAATACCCTTAAATCTTTTATTCTTCTATCCCAAGACCCTAAACTCCACAACTTTGATGTTCTTTCTCACTCTGAGACCCCAAATCCCAAGCTCAGGGGCTCACACATGTCAATATTCCAGAATCTTCAGCTCTGAAATTTGTCTACTATCTCCCCCACTCCCACCAAGTCCACAGTCCTGTACTAGTCCCTCAGGAGAAGCCAAAAATTCAGACTTGTTAATCTGCCCTGGAGTCCCTCCCTCCTCCATTGCTGGCTGCATCCCAAGCTAGGCGGGAGCATGGTGGGGGGTGTAACTGGGAGGTGAAATGAGACAGTTACATAATCAGGACCAAAGGCCGCCCCTCTCTCCCAGGTAGTATAAAGACAAGCTGTCCCAGCCATCACCTTGTGACTCTCACTCTCAATGCCACCATGCTGGCCTCAGGGCTGCTTCTGGTGGCTTTGCTGTCCTGCCTGACAATAATGGTCTTGATGTCTGTCTGGCGGCAAAGGAAGTTCTGGGGAAAGCTACCTCCTGGTCCCCGAGCGCTGCCCTTCATCGGGAACTACTTGCAGCTGAACACAGAGCAGATGTACAACTCCCTCATGAAGGTATCACAAGGCAGGGAAATTGGTGTTAGGGTGTTGGGGGCCTGCCCAGTCTGGCTGAGACTTTGTGGCAGGGGATTGGCAAGGTTGGACTGAAATCTTAGAAAGGAGTAGGTAGTTCTTAAAATACATGTTTTTATTGATTCCAGAGAGAGAGGGAGAGGGAGAAAGAGAGAGAAACATCATTGGAGTCTAAAACCTGGGCGTGTGTTTTGACCAGGAATCATGGAATCAAGCTGGTGACCTCTCGGTGCATGGGGCAACGCTCAAGCAACCGAACCACACCAGCCAGGGCAAGAGGGGGGAGTTTTGAAGGTTTAGTACTGGGGTTCTAGCCAGGAAAGACCAGATCTTGGGATGTCCAGTTCCTTGACTGTCAGAACTCGGGCAAAATGTATCCCAGTCTGTGAGGTCTGGGTACAGAGTCAGTTCAGAGTTGGGGCTGCTCCCTCTCACCCACTCTCATGCCTCTCCATCAGATCAGCGAGTGCTATGGTCCCGTGTTCACCATCCACCTGGGCACTCGGAGGATCGTGGTGCTGTGTGGACATGAGGCTGTAAAGGAGGCTCTGGTGGACCAGGCTGAGGAATTCAGTGGGCGAGGCGAGCAGGCCACCTTTGACTGGCTCTTCAAAGGCTATGGTGAGGGGGACTCTGGGAGGGGGAATGTGGTCAAGCAGACTTGAAGGCCTCAGTGTCCCAGCATTCTTCTCCCAACTCACCACCCACTCAAGGCTGAGGCAGAGCCCTTCCTCGGTCTCCTCTGTCCCGTTCTGTTTATCCCTGTGTCCCCTCTAACTTGTCTTAGTGTTTCTGCATCTCCCTGCTTCTCTCTGCCCCATCTCTCGGTTCTCTCTCACTAGATGGCTCCTCTTTCTCTGTATCTCTTAGATGCTCTTGGGATTTTTGCTTTGGAACCCTGGTCCTCTGTCTCCAAGTGTCATTTTTTTTCCCTCCTTCTCAGCGTCTGTGCCTCCCCATGTTTCTCTCTCCCTCTCCTTGCCTCTCTTTTCCTTTGTCTTAGAGTCTCACATTTTTTCTGCTTCACAATCCCCATGCCTCCACCTCCTGGTAAAAGCCTCTTCTCTCTTCCAGGCCCTCTCTGTTTCTCTGTATATGTTTTTCTCTTTTCTCCAGGTCAGTCTTAGAATCCTTCTCAATTTTTACTCCCACTTCCCAGATCTCCACATATCTCACTTCCCCTCCTTCCCTCCTGCCTCTTTCTCTTCATGTGAGTGTCTCTGCATCTCTGTTTCTCTGTACATCCGTGTTGCCCCTTTTCTTCCAACTTGGTCTCTTTCTCTTTCTGTATTTCTCTGACTCTGAGTGTTCTCTCTCTCTCTCTCTCTCTCTCTCTCTCTCTCTCTCTCTCCCCCCACCTCCCTCTGACCCCCCCCCTCTCTGGCCAC